TGTGGAATTTAACCTCAGCCTTAATGTTGACCAAGCTTTAAACATCTCTACCTGATGACTTTATTAGCTAATAATGATTATGGAACAGCTACAAACCTACCAAGACCAAGTAATTTAGACTTAATTAGACTTAGACATCTTTTATTGTCATTTTGTATACACTCTGTGTATACAAAATGACTTGGTCACAGCCAATCAGGAACAGACCAGATGAAGCTACTATGAGAAAAAGCAGAGAGAGCAGAACGTTAGAGATTGAACTAATAGATTCTGCAGAGTGGGAGAATAGAGAGAGAATGAAGCAGAATGATGAAAAATGGGTCCCTATGTCCTCCAGCAGTCTAAGCCTATAAGAGCAGAACTATAGAGATAGCTCAGGATAACCTGAGCCACTGTATTTTCGCGACTATAAGGCGCATATAAACGTCTTTTTTTCCCCTATGTGTGTTGTTACTGCGGATGTTGTTGAGACCGCCATGAGAACGTTAAAGGGGGAAGTGTGGGCGTGGATTGTGTATAAAAGAACAGGTATGTGCTTTATGCAGAACTCCTCATCTCCTCATTGAGGAGATGATGAAAGAGTGGCTAAGGGGAGGTGAATGTACAGTAAGGAGACCAGGTGGTTTTTCACCATTGCTGTTAATCTGTGACTCCATGCGTGCCCATCTCACCGCCGATGTGAAAAACATGGTGAAACAAATGAACGCTGTGCTCGCTGTTATTCCGGGAAGTCTGACAAAGGAACTTCAACCGCTCGACATCGGTGTGAACCGGCCGTTCAAAGTAATGCTACGTTTATGCGTCTGCTGCTTCATTTTTGCTGCTTGTACCAGTTAGTTCTGACGCGCGGCTGAAGCAGCTTTGCTGCTCTGGCTGCGCGGGGCAAAAGTGGGTCTGACACGCCTTTTAGTACGGTGCACCTTATGCTCGTGAAAATACGGTAATTAAAAATAATACAATTATTAATGAAAACATAAAATGATTCATAATAGATCATTCATAAACTAAAGGGGGAAGATGTGAATGCAGGTAAAGAAAGTTTGACTACAATAGGCTATGTGTTTATGTAACAAAATCAAAGGCAACTCTAAAAGGATAGATTTTGAAGGTGTGAGTGAGTGAATGGTTGTTTGTCCTGTTTGCTATGGACTGGCCACCTGTCCAGGGTGGACCCGCCTCTCGCTCGTAGACAGGTGGAGATCGGCACCCCTCCCCACCCCACTTGGGAGACGCGTGACAGAAAATTGATGGATATAATTTCAAGATTTTACATGAAGACTGAAATACAAGTATCTGCCTGTTAATGCTATAATATTTTTTTATTTGCAAATTGTGCATGCATGACGTCATATACTCTTTTGCCGTGTCTTTGCATCAGCGTTCAAATCTGACAGGTTTGCAATACAGCTAAATTAATGAACCTATTTAAAACTCCACAGAGTTATTAAATTGGTAAAATAATAACTTCATATTTTGCTTTTTGCTCATAGTTACAACCCGAATCTGATAATTTGGAAAAAAAACTATACATTCAAGTATTTATGCACACAGACACACACTTACACTATCCAATGATTGAACAACTATATTAAAATAACTTACACATGTTGTAAATTCACATTAAAATAAATAAATATATATGCATAAAAAAACAGAGTGAATTACTTTATATTTCCTCTACTTTTTATTTCCTAACGTTAGACACAACGTGAATGGCTAACTCAGTCAATATCTTTGAGTCAGTCTGAGATAGCCAGACTAATGTTTCTCTACATCCATCAGCGTATATAAAGATGTAATAGTTAGTTCATCCACTGACTGGGAAATAAAATGTGAAACATCTTCCTACAGCAGAAAACTGCTTGTTTTAGCAGCCAAATGCTGCACATAGAGGCATTTTTAATGCGTGTCTCCTTGGGAGTGGGGAGTACCAGCATGGCGGACAGGGGCTTCACTTTTTTCAGCCAATCAGCAGAATAAATAGAGCTCAGTGAGGTGGGGGATGTGGGATTTCAGGGTAAGTTTTCACGCAGACCTGTGAAGAAACTGTTGAAGTATTCAGTTCTACTAAAGATGAACACATTAATTCATTTTTTAGATCCTGCTCAGACTTTAGTTCTTTAATCCTGAAGATGTTCTTCAGGTGATAGAAGGCTGACTGCGTTTCTGTTTCTATGTTCCTCTGAAAGTTCAGGTCTGAGTCCATCACTACATCCACATTTTAGCCTGATATTTATCGCTCATTAACCAACAGCTGTGTGCTAACTTTTAAAAATTCTTCCTTTAGTCCTAAAACTATAAATTCAGTTTTGTCTTGATTTTTCTGAAAAGAAATTTGGCAGATTTCTTCTACTAATGCTATGCAGAGTTTGAATAGGTTCATAGTAACCTGGTAATATAATGTATAGCTGTATGTCGTCTGTGTGGTTATAGTAACTTAAATCCTGACAATTTGCCTGTTTTGAGTTTTTAAATTCATTTTTTTTCCTTTAGACAATAAATAAAAATTCTGATCATGATGAGAAATGTATCACAATAACGATAAACTATATGATATATGGCAAACAAACTACAAAAATTTTTTTTTGTGCTGTATTAACTCTAAACATTAGTTTGGTAAGACAGATTATTTTCTGTAACAAAGCGAACTGAGTCATTTCTTCATGAAAAAAGAGTGTCTGCAGAAGCTGCCTCAGATTCTAGGTGGAAAAGTAAAGTCATAACAGGTTGATTATTGAGGAAAACATGCTTCTGTTTTTAATTTATTAAATTAGATTATCGAGTTTATTGTTGCCTCACAGTGGACAGACAGCAGTTACGTTGGGCTCAGAACAGTTGGTTGCACCTTTAGTTTTAAATCTGTCTTTAGGTTTATTGCAATGATTTAGAGCTGAGATTTATTAAAGATTTATCCCTCTCTGCTTTTTGTTTTGTTTATCTGTGCAGGCTCTGGAGCTGAGGGAAACCTGTGCATGCCCTGCGCTTCCTCCTACTGACCCTAGAGCTGTCTTCTCAAAGACCGTCAACGTGTTGCTGGAAAAAGCCAAAGAGCAGGGGGTCAGAGGGCTAGAGGGGATACAGGAGCCGCAAACAGTTTCCGACCCTGCAGGACGGCCATTTTCTCAAACTGTACTCCCTTCTGCTTTTAAAGCGGATCGGTTAAACAAAGATAGGGTCCCTGCTGTCACGTCTGCGCTGCCCAGTGCTACAGGGGAAGGATCCCAGCGTGTGCTGCAGAACATCAGCCAGCAGGGGAGTTAAATCCAAACAAACTCCACTGACTCTATTGGAAAACTTACTAGAGCTTAAAGGCTTTTGTTTCTGTGCTATAGCTTTATAGAGCCATTTAAAATGGTCTCTAAGTGCCCAAGAACGGAGATCCCAACCATTACGATGCAGGCTACTTTAGAAGGGGACGCCTGACAACGTTTTATAAAAACAACAGGTGGCTGGGAGTATGATAAATAAAAAAAAACAGGGCAAAAAGCCAACAAAACAAAATTGACAATGCTATCCATGTCTAGTGTCCATAAAGATGCCACTTTAATTAGCTAACCTTGACCAGGGAAATGCTGCATTAATTAGCAGAGCTCCCATACTTTGTGAGATTAATATGTGCATTATTCATCAACGCACGGCAAAAGCCGGGAAGAAGCACTTAGGTGTGCATGTTTGATGCTGCGTCCACAGTGAGGTGAGGACATCTACGTTCTCGCTGCCACCGCAGCATTCTCATGCAACACACACTTTATGCATTCTCTAGCCTGAGGGATTTAATCGGGTAAATTGATGCTGGGCTGTTTAAGGACCCAGCCTCCTGCATGGGAATACCAATGTCAAGGCGTCGAGCTTCGAGAAAGAAATTTCATGGGATTCTTAAATAAAACTCTTATTTAACAAGGCAAGCATAGTGAGAAAACATTGATATTTACAGCAACAGCCTCGGGGAGCAGTCACGCACGGAGCAGGGGAGGGCAGCTATGGTTCAAAGCTAATGCTGTTCTCTTATGTGCGGCTGTGCGCTGAAATTAAATGGTACACTTGGAAACACCATGAAATCAAATTCTACTGCTGTGTTATCATCGCTGAAAATGATTTTATTTAAGTTATGCTTTTTAGATGCAGACCCGGCCGAAGTTCCAGCTCGAGCAGCTATCCGGAGCAGCAAAGGGTCTGTTTAAGAAACGATATCTCTAATGGATTATATGGTGTGCAATTGCTTTCAATAGATGCAATAAATGAAACAAAAATCCTAAAAACCAAAGTTTTCTTTCAGCAGTTCAATATATTCCCTTTTATGAGTTTTATTTAAACTTAAACTGTACTTGAAGCCATTTTAACTTACCTATTTTTATTCCTCTGGCACATCAATCCACTTTCAGTATTGAAAGCCTCAAATCTGCAGCAACAAGTAATAAAAGGAAGAAATCAGAACATATCTGTTGTGCGAGTGAAATGTTTGGCTGCCAAACAAAAGTCACACCAGCCGGTTAGGCTCTGAAGGAAATGCTTTTTAAAGAGTGAGTTCTGAGTGTTTAGCTCTGTGGGGTGTTTATTGACGTCTACATATTGATGTCACACTTCTAGATTCCTAGATTGCCTCCTTGCTGGCCTCTCACAGCTAATTATAAAGATGTAATGTTTGGAAATCTCATAAAATATTACTACCAGCCAATCACAGCGAGATGAAAGCCATCAAACTCCCCAGAGTCGGCCTCGATGCTGCTCCTTTGTAATGTCTGCCAACTGTTACAAGCACCAGCTTCTTGAATACATGATCAATCCTGTCATATCTACTCTGGCTTTCATAAGTATTTACATTTATTGCACCTTTTCAACACTTCCTGTAACAATCAAACATGGGAATTTGTTTTATTTAGATTTTATCTAACTTGCAAAGATAAAATAGAGAATAATTGTGAAGTAAAAAGGACTTTATTGGGCTTTTCTAATGTTTTTACAAATGCAAACCTGAAACATTTGACAAGCTTTCATGTTTTTTCAGTCGGTGTTATGAGGAACCACCCTAAGCTGCATCTACAGCTGCAGGGTTTTGTTGGCCTCATCTCCACCAACTCAAAATGCTAAAAAGGCTCAGTTTTAATCAGATTAGACAAAGAGTTATTGAACATTGGCTTTCAAGTCTTGCCACTGATTTCCAATTTAAATTTGGAGTTTACTGGGTCACTGTTGCACATGAGCACACAATTGATTTAAAACAATGCATTGTTGGTCATGTTATTGCTTTATGATTAGAAGTCATTTCTGTAAACAGTCGCTTCTCACCAGTTTTTGCACAACTATTAGTTGCTATGACTTCCTTAGAGCCAGGGGGGATTTATCATTAGGCAATAATTCCTGGGGGCCCCATAAAACTCTGTTTACATGTATGTTTAATACAACTATTCCTTATTTCTGTTCTTGATAAAAGTCCTTTTGCTAAAATGCCTTCAGAATACTTAAAATATTATAAGTGTTCTGAAGGCACTGATATGGTGTCCACCATATTGGATCAGTCCATTTGCTGCACATGTTCAGAAAGGTCCAAACAGACAGCAGCAAACAACGATGCAAAGAGCAGTGTTGCTAACTTAGCGCTTTAGTCGCTATATTTAGCCACTTTTCAGACCCCTCTAGCACTTTGATTTCTAAAAAGCTCCTAGCGCCAAATCTAGAGACTTTTTTCTGCTACTGGAGACTTTGGAGACAACATCTAAAAGCAGCGAACTCTGCTCTCCAGAGCGAGTAGATTGGTAACCCCGCCTCCTGCTCTCCTCTATCTTGTCTGCTGTCATGATTCATGCAGCTATTATTTCATCCAAATGAAAAATGGAGAACAGATAAGCAGATCATGGCTTGTCTACAGTGAAAAGAAGGACTGGGTTATTTACTTTGGCCTTTTTGGAAACACAGGAAGGAGCAATCAGCTAAGTGAGCTTAGTGCTTGGAAAAAATCTTTCATTCCTTTAGAGACAGCATGAAAAGTCAGCTGAGTACAAAACATAGAGAGGAAAACAAGAAGAAAAGGGACAAAATGCACACAAATAATGTATGTCTATTCTATGCAAATGTCTATATCTATATAATGGGTTTGTTTGATGTGTTGTCTTCTCAATTCAGAGGGCCCCCTGCCTGTCTTTGCCTAGGGCCCCGAATTTCCTTAACCCACCCCTGCTTAGAGCTAACAAAGGCATTTTGGCTGCTTCTCTGAATATCTCTCCGTATGTTTGCAATGCTGTTACTATTTCCCTGTTTAGATGAAAAAATTCAGTTAGATATTAATAGTTTTGCGAGGCAATCTGCGTGTTCTGAAACACCTATTGGATATGTGCTGCTGTTAAATAAAACTTAGAAAGAAGCAGGATCGCAGCTTGTAATACAGATTTCCTCTCTCCCGGTCATATTGTTGAGTGCACAGCGAGGCAGGCGTTTTCCTCGCCGCTCTTGGGAGAAATTGGAACATGAGCAGGCAACAGATGACACACTTACACCCAGAGGTAATTGTAATAAGCCAGATGCAATACACACACAGCGGAGTGAGTAATTGTAGCTTAGTCTTGGACGGCAACAGAAGGCTTAATCAAGGAAAACCAAGAGACAACAGTAAGAAAGATTGAGAGCACAGAAATAGAAAACAGGCTAAATTGAACCTCAGGGTCTGACAGGAGAAAGGAAGTATTTCATTTCAAGAGTGTGAGCGACAAAATCTTTTAATCTAAATCAAGACGTTTGATTCTTAACATGTCACTATACGGAGGCTGTGTGCGCAGGTTTTGACTTTGAAGTCTCTCTGCAAACAAACAGAGCCTCAGGCAAAAATGTGAAAGTCATATATCTGTTTTATGTCTATAAATTCACCTCAAGTCTCAGTTTGTTTTGTTTGTATTTCCTTCCGCCCACCGGAGACACCAGACGGCTTCTGAGACCCGAGACAAAGGGCTTGCAGGTATTTTGAGGTATTGACAAGCAGAGAACTGCTGAGAAGGAGAAGATGGGAGCAAGAGGATGCAGCACACCCACCAGAGAAGGAAGGATGCCTGCTAGTCGGCAAACTCAGGATGCTGTTTCCCCCAACAAAAACACTCCCAGAGAGTCAGGCCAGCGAAAGTGCAGCCCAGCACATCTGCTGTGTAGGTGGCTGAATGACGTCCCGGTGTGCGAGCTGCCTGGCCTTTGACCTCCCTGCAGAGAGTCGCTCAAAGTGGCTCATCCTCAGCTCCATTTCACAGAAACACACAGCAACACTCAGGCAGCTGCCGTCTGTGGCGCTCGCAGGGAATATGGTGACAGAAAGGCACGTCTGGTTGTGGTAAAAGTTGCCACGTCTTTCCGCTGTGCATTAATTATACATGTGGCATGTGGGAGTCTGATTGATATGAATATTTTACTGCTTTTAATCACTGCCATTGCCAGAGTGATGGAGCATCTGGCTGTATTACCTGGGTAATTAAAGAAGCTGTCTCACACACGCACTCACGCAACTCTCTGAGGCTGTGTCTGCGATATGAGACAGAAGCGCTCAGGAGGGTTGCTAATGAGTCCAAATTAAATTTGCACTGTTTTGAAGCAATGGAGCCTGTGAAAAGGTAGTATCTGCTACTGAGTCATTCTTCTCACCTATCTCTGTTCAACAAAATGCTTTTCAAACGGGCTAAATGCAAAACACGAATAGAATTATGCTTCCTGTGGTAAAATTTCTACTCCTAAATTTCAGTTTTCAGACCCAAGGATCCAGTTGACTGAATGAAAAATGTATCTTATGGTGTTCAGTGGCAGCAGAGGTGATGATTATGGGGAGAATCACCTAAAACCACACAGAGTATAATCAGAAATACTCTCTTCTGTCCGTTCTCCTCTTCCTGCAGCCAGAGATGTTATTTTTAGCAATGAGGGCAGAACCACGGGGCTCAGGCAGCATGGTTTGTTCTTTTCAGGTGCCGTCTAGCTTCATTTAAGTAGGTTGACAACACAGAGCTGTTTTTCTACTTGATAAAAAGGCTTGTCCGATGCCGCTTTAACATTTTCCCCACAGCACGTCTCTGTACTCAGACCAGCTCTCTATGAGTCATTGAAAAGAAATCAACAGCTATTCTTTGAAGTCTGCCAAAACGGGCTTTTCGCATGAAGCAGCCAGCTAGTTTTACAGCGATAGCAGTAACTCCACCACTGCTACTCTTTATTTAATGTATTATTTGTGCTAAGTTCTATTAGTTCTATGCGTTTTTTTTTTCTTTCTTGGTTTGGCTAGAAGAACATGCTCAGGATCTATCAACAGAAGTTGTTGTATGCTTTTCTACTTTCTTCTTTATTATTGATTTTTTATTACAAAACCTAGAAAGTTACAGTTCACGTTTGCATGAAGGGAAAACAAAGACAAAGAAAATAAAGTAAAATACATAAAAGACCGTTTTCAACATCAACAATTAAAGAACATAGCCAGAGTAACAAAAAATAAGTATCAGTAAAATTAATTATAAAGTTAGAGTAGATAAATGTTGTAAACATTTTGATGCTGATTTACCCTTTAATCCAGAAATACAGATTATATAATTTTTTAAGTCAACTTTAAAAACACTGAAAAGAGGTTTGTTCTTCATAAGTTTTGACTCATGGATGAAGAATTTACCAAGTAAAATAAATAGATTGACTCTATATTGTATAGAGGGGTTTGAGTCAGAAAAATAAAAGTATGTGTGAGCCAAAGTGACCATTAATAAAGCATTGCATATCATTCTACAGAGAAGAGCCTTTTCTACTTTCTATAGAGAGTATGCCTAGTGCAGCATTGCGTGTTTGTTTGTGCTTTTATTGTTTTTATTCTGCATAGATTAAATTCTGTCAGTTCTTTTCTTTTCAGCCATGTTTCTCTGTTGCCTGAAGCCGCTGATATAGCTATTGCTTCCATCAACATATTTTCTTTTTTTTTTTTTTTGAACTTTATTTTTTTATTTTTAATAACACATGAACACAGTTACAATCTTTTGTCTCCACCAACCTAAGCCACTATATTACACGAGACATCGAAAGGTGAGTCAGTGGGTGTTCTAACACATGTAATAATGCATACATGACAACAGATTGAAATCAACAGGCAGATAACAGTAAAATAAAATAAAATGGTACATAACACTTGAATGAATCCCCTCCTGAAACAAGACAATCCACACATTCATAGTATTTTCCATCGACCCAAAGATATACGCTAATGCAAAAGGGCTAGCCTGTAGCTGTGTCACTGAGTTAGTAACGGTATGACAGAGCTCCATCTTGTATTAAAAACTGTTTTTTGAAACCTTAGGGAATATGTTATTCCTTCCATCATGTAAATGTCCCAAACTTTTTGTATCCATATGTTATATGTAGGAGGCTCTGGCTTCAGCCATCTGACAGTTATGCATT